CAACCGCATGGTGGCTCACAACCATCTGTAATGAGATCTGGTGCCATCTTCTGGCCTGAAGGGATACACGCAGGCAGAACATGGTATACATAATAAATAAATCTTTTTTTTTTTTTTTTAAAGAGTGATTCTCTGTGTGTTCCTGGATGTTCTGGAACTCACTTTGTAGACCAGGCTGACGTTGAACTCAGAACTCTGCTTGCCTCTGTCTCCTGAGTGCTGGGATTAAAGGCATGCACCACCACTGCTCAGCTGAGACCAGGTTTCTAATGGCGTGCTGCTTGTCAATAGGCTAAGCTGGCTGACCAGCAAGCCCCAGGGATCCACCTGTCTTCTTTTTCCTAGTGGGGAGATAACATGCACACACCACTGACAAGACTCTGAGTGGCTTTTACGGACGGTTATTATAAAGAGATCTGGTAACTGACTTCGGAATGTTTGTTAAACTTAAAAGTGAAAATATATTTTCCAAATTATTCTTTAAAACTAAAACTTACCATTTAAAACAATAGTCCGTGTTGCTTTTTGTGTGCCTCTGGTGTGGAGTACCTGGAGCCCTGTTGTCCTGGCTCGTTTTATGTCAACTTGACACAAGCTTTTGTCATCTGAGAGGAGGGAGCCTCAACTGAGAAAATACCTCCATAAGACCGGATTATAGGAAAGTTTGTAGTGTATTTTTTAAATTAGTGATTGGTGGAGGAGAGCCTAGCCCATTGTGGGTGATGCTATCTCTGGGCAGGTGGTCCTGGGTTCTATTAGAAAGCAGGCTAAACAAACCATGGAGAGCAAGCCAGTACGCAGCACCCCTCCATGGCCTCTGCATCAGCTTCTGTGTCGGGTTCCTTCCCTGTTTGATTTCCTGTCCTGACTTCCTTCAGCAATGAACAGGAATATGGAAGTGAAAGCCAAATTAATAATAATAATAATAAACCTTTCCTCTTCAGGTTACTTTTGGTCATGGTGTTTCGTCACAGCAATAGAAACCTCACTGAGACACCTGTTAATGCTTTCACAGCAGGTTAACAGTACCAATAACTCCTTTCAGAACAGTGGGTTTAGGCCTGGAAACGCAGAGCAGTGTTTAGTAAAGCACTTACCATGAGTAAGGCCTACTACCATAAAATCAAACCACCTGGGCCCTAGGAATGGCTCAGCAGGTAAATCTGCTTGCCTTAAGCTATGACCCTGAGTTTGGATCAGGAAACCACATGGTGCAAGGAGTGAACCAGCTCTGACAGGTTGGTCTCCTGCCTGCACATACATGCCAGGGCATGCACATGCATGCATACCCCAACAAAAAAGCAGGCTGGTTCCCAGAAGTTTGTGAGTTGGGGAGCAGCAACCAGATTGTTTCTGAACTTGAAGCTTTGTTAAGGGAAGGGTTCAGTTGACATTCTCATTGCTACTTTTAGTCCTGCTCATATTGACAAGGTCGGTAGTGACTTAAGAGCAGAAAATCTTTCTTACACTCATGCTTTGGGGCATAATTTGCCTGGTGCTTGGCTCTTAGAAATCTTTTATTTTAGGCTGCTTGGGTTTTTTTGTTTGTTTGTTTTTGCTTTTTATTTTACTTTTGTTTTTTGAAACAGAGTTTCTTTATAGTCCTGGCCCTCCTGGAACTCACTGTGTAGACCAGGCTGGCATTTAACTCACAGAGATCTGCCTGCCTCTGCCTTTAGAGTGATATAATTAAAAGTGCACCACCATGCCTGGCAGACCACTTGCTTTTGTCTCTGTTCATAATCCCCTTTAGTGGATTGCATCCCCAGTTAGCACCATATAATGTCATATCACCATCATACTACCTTCTTAAAAAACAAAAACAACAAACCTCCCATTTCCTGCCAGGTAAAGGGGGGGCACTTGGGAGATGAGGTAGAGGCAGGCAGATCTCGGTGAGTCTAGGCTAGCTAGAGTTACATGGTGAGACCCTGTCTCAAAGAAAGAAAAGAAACCCCTCACAATAGGAAGAAGCACAAGGAAAGGTAAGCTGCTTTGGAATCAGACACACTTGGCTTTGAGCCCAGGGTATGTTCCCTTCTTGCTGTGGGACTCTGGACAAGTTAATAATGTCTTTGAGTTTCATCTACACAATGAGGCCAACAATCTTTACGATGTGGGCTGAGTGTAGAGATGGTAGATGTGCAGAGCCTAGCACTGTGCCTATCCTTGGACATACAGCATTTTGTTCTTGAGGATCGAGATGCTTCCTTGATAGGACTGTAGTAATTTCTGTGTTAGATCCTAAGTTGCTGTGCTTACATGGCTTCTGAGTCTGACATAGTGGATGTGCCAAATAAAGAGTTGATGAAGACTGACATTATACTTGTGTGTGGTTTGAGGAAAGGGCACATGCTGTCAGTCGGATAGCACGGTGTCAGTCTGTCTTGCCTGTGTAGTACATCTGTGCAGCGAGCTTATTGCTTCCTCTTCCCTGCAGCCTCAGATGCTCTCACACCCGAAAGTGGCCACCTTCTCAAAGGGTTATCCTAAAGGTTAGACTGGCAGGATGCTTTTAATTTTAATGTAGAGAATTTGGCCAAATCAGTAAGGGCTGGTGTAAATTAGGACTGTCTGCGATGGACCTTTGTGTGTGAGTGGAGTTGTTCTAAGGAGTATCTGTTCATAAGTTAGTCTGGAAAAGTAAAAAGTGTCAGTCTGAATGAACCATCTGAACCAAGACCTTTGATAACTAAGTTCTTTGAATTATCTGCTGTATATGAGGACAGAGTTGGCTTTCTCCGAGGTAGAGTGTAGTATTCTAGAGAGAAGGTTATTGCTAACTGGGGATAAGTAATGAAGCCAGTGACCAAACTTCCCTAAAACTAAGTGATTGACTTCGTTATGAAACTTTTGAGATCAGTACAGCATGACATGCAGTTGCTCCAAAGAAGAGAAAAATTATGTCTTAACTGAAAAGTTCTTTTTGACTGTCTTAGCAGCTGTTTTTGAGCTGGCATTTATTTTGGGCAGATGGGGGATTTTTGTTTTGTTTGGAAATTCGGGTTTCATTTTCTCAAGTGCATTACAATGACAAGTGTCCTGGAGGAGTCATTAAAAACTCATGGTGCTTCTCTCCTTCAATTGTGACTCTTCTGTTTTCCAGCTTGTCATCTTAATGGAATTAGCTTTCCATGGAGGGAATCTAAGTTGTTATGATCTCAACATAAGTAGACAGAGTCTTCCTCTACATTAGCTGACACTGACTTGATCAGTAGTGGTTCACACAAAGACTCAGGCATCTCTCAGGAATTATTCAATTCTGTCCCTGAGCAGCAGAACATTTGACCACCAGGGGGCCTCAGCTTCCCTCATTTTACCCAGAGAAATAGCTGTGCTCTCCAACCAGACTATCCGTATTAATAGAAAAAAAATCTACTAAAAAAAATTACGTGTGTAAAGGTGTCATGTTCCACCTTAAAATATGTTGTTGTTGTTGTTGTTGTTGTTGTTATTTAGATAGGGGTGTGTGTGTAGAGGCAGGCACATACCCTGTGGTACACATTGGGAAGTCAGAGGGGAAAAAAAATTTTTTTTGTGACCAAGTCTCTCTATATAGTCCTGCTGTCCTGAAACTCATTCTGTAGACCAGGCTGCCTCGAACTCACAGAAATCTGCCTGCCTGTGTCTCCTGAGTGCTGGGATTAAAAGTGTGTGCCAACATACCAAGCAAAATGTTTCTCTTATAGAATATACTCTTAAAATAATAAAAATATATGGTAAAACAAAGAATAAAATGCTGATACATGCCACAGTGTAGATGAGCTAAAATTAAAAGGTCATATTGCCGGGTGGTGGTGGTGCACACCTTTAATCCCAGTACTCGGGAGGCAGAGCCAGGTGGATCTCTGTGAGTTCGAGGCCAGCCTGGGCTACAGGGTGAGATCCAGGACAGGCACCAAAACTACACAGAGAAACCCTGTCTCGAAAACCAAAAAAAAAAGAAAAAGAAAAAGTCATGTATTAGGAACAATATCATACCAGTGGTAGAATGCTTACTTGGTGTACACAAGATCCTGGAACTGATGCTCAGCACCTTCCCAACAAGTCCTCTGTTGTGAGAGTATCCAGAACAGATAAATCTATAGAAGTGGTTTGTTACTGGGGCGGTGTGTGTGTGTGTGTGTGTGTGTGTGTGTGTGTGTGTGTGTGTGCGTGCGTGCGTGCGCGTGCGCGCTCCACCATGCAGAGGAACTGCTTAATGCCCTGGAACTTTATTTGGAACTCATGAAAATGTTCTGCTGCATATAAACAGAGACAGTGGTTGGACGTTGTGACTGTAGTAAGTGCCACTGAATTTACTTTATTTTGAATTTTGAGATGAAGGGGCTTGGTATATAGCTTAGTTGGTAGAGTACTGGGTGAGAGTTGAGTTGTAGTGATAGAATGCTTTCATAGCATACATGAGGTCCTGGGTTCAGTTCCTACCACTACATAGAGCAAGTATGGGGGTATACACCTGTGGTCCCAGCACTTGGAAAGTAGAGGTAGGGAGACTAGGAGTTTAAGGTTCATCAACAGGTTTGAGGCCAGCCTGGGCTATGTAAGACCCATCTCCAAAATTAAATAATAAAATTTTTTAAATTGAATATCATTTTAATAGTATAAAGTCATTGTTCATAAGAATTAAGTATATATTATACATGTATTCATAAGGTTTTATATATAGAACACTAAATAAATGATTAAAAGAAAATAAGACTGAATCTGTCCCTTCTCTCCTGAATGCGGGAGGGAGTGTCACTTGTAGATCTTGCAGTAGGAAGCTGGCGGCATAAGTAGTGACTGTTGAGCACATGGTTGCCGAATCTTTTCCTTGTGTGCTTTAGTCTAGTTTTAGAAAAGTTGCTCCAATTTCTGCCCAATTTACAAACGTAGATCTCACAGTACTTCTTTAGTCTTGAGTAGATCACATGATCCTTCTTTAGTCTGGAGTAAGAAAGATAGACAGTTGACAAGCAGCCAATTTCAGCCTAGCATAATATCCTGTACAAGGTAGAGAATGCCTTCAGGTATGTTTCTATACCATTAACTAAATCTTAGTCTCAGTGCTTTACTCTTTACCTTCCAGAACGGTCCAGGCTCTGCAGACAGCATCCCACCTATCACAGCAAGCTGACCTGAGGAACATCGTGGAGGAGATTGAGGTATAAATCTTTTTCTCCAAATGAGTCTCGGAGCCCCTGTCTTTGACACCCTTTAAGACACTCGGGCAAGTAGACAGGACTGGTTTCTTGTAACAGGCTTTGTATCTTTTATATCTATGGCTGTGAAGTCCAACATGCTTGGGTTCTTTGTATTTAAGCAGTATGTCCTAGAGAATATTTGTTAGGCTAATAATGGCCATAAGTTATGGAACCAGCAAATCTAAAACTCAAATGCTTCTTTCTGCCACTTACGGCTTTGTAATTGTAAGTAAGGTGTGGGAGCCAGTAAAGTTAAAAGAGCCTGCATATATTAAGTTGCTACCTGTTAAGTGGATACTGTGGGTGGAGTTTTTGGTTGAGACAGTCTCATTATGTAAACCATATTGGTCTTAAATTTGGTGGCATCTTCCTGAGCTAGAATTTTAATGTGTACTGCCATCCCCGGCTCACTGCAGTTTTTCCTGTTGCTCAGTTCTGTACCTAGGATATTCTGTTCCTTGGGCCACTCTTAAGAGCTATCCATATAGCTGTGATGATGGGCAGCTCTGGCAGTGTTGTTGCTGTGTGCTTCACAGGCACAGAAACTGCCTCATTCTGCTCCCCAGCAGAGCAGTGGTTTCTTGTCTTGTAGAGCACTGACTGACGAGAAGTGCTGTGATCCTAGGTACGATCCAAGTGGGAGGCCACAGCTCCATCTCCGTCGTGATGCTCCCTGGCAACACTGCAGCCGGATCACTGTTCTGCCCAAACTGGTGGCTGCTTCAGTGCCCTGGCTCTTAGACTTTGGCAGGAATGCAGGGAACTATGGGAAGCATGCTACCAGAGCTGCTGGAGACTGCCTGTCTGCCCTTCTATAGAAAGTACTAAGTGGTTATGGTGGTCTTTGGGTTCAGTGAGATTTCTCAGAAAGGCCAGCTCTGGGGTGACTGTACTTTTTGAATCTCATTGCTGCGATCTCTGTGTCCCAGTGTGCCTCCATTTCTTCATGACAGGACCTTGTTGCTCGGCTGGATGAACTAGGGGGCGTGTATCTCCAGTTTGAGGAAGGCCTGGAAACCACAGCATTGTTTGTTGCTGCCACCTACAAGCTCATGGACCATGTGGGGACTGAACCATCCATAAAGGAGGTGCCTGTCTAATGATTCTCCAGCACGTAACTCAAAGGCATTGTTGAGTTTATCTTTCAAGGAGAGCTGTTTCCAGAGAGTGGTATTCAGATCATACCTCAGGGTATTGCTATTCATGATTTAGGGTAGGTTTTAAGAATGAGAAGTAGAAAGGTATAATGCCTGTACTTAGAAGCTGATAGTTGGTGTGACAGGCACCTGTGTACATGAGGCACCTACATGCCATTAAATAGGGGCAAGGTCAAGTCTATCACCTTCCTGACAGCCCTTTCTGCCTGTCTCCTGTGTGCTTCCCTCTTTACTGGCCCCAGAGAGCCTCTCTCCAGGAAGCACCCTGGACTTCAGAATTGCCTGTGCTCCCCTCCCCCCTTCGTCCTCAGCAATAGCTAATTCAGACGATCTCTGCTGCTGGATGTAGTCTTCCTGCTGTTTCCCTGAGAAGCGTGTGTGTGTGTGGGGGGGGGGGAGTTGTTCCAACCTTTGGTCTAAAGTACTTAAAATACAAATTCTGATACTTAGATTTTTAGAGGAAAGGTTTGAATCTAAAGCTAAACTCATTTCTTTTATGCATTATGCAAATGTCTTTATGTAACCAGCAAATAGCATCTATCTTGGGTAGCTAGAATTAGTTTTCTCATCATTTGTTCATGTCCCTGCACTCTCACTGTGTCCATTCCTTCTTCCTCAGCGTAGGAGTGCTAGAACTATCAGGCTCCCTTTGCACTTTGGTCGGGGTGAACACTAAGGAATGCAGGGTCTGCTGGTACACATTGTTTGGGGGGTTCTATATGCCTTGACATAGATGGACTGCTAACTCTCTACATATATACAACTTAAACTTTTTCTTGTTTTAGTCCCAAGCTGTTACTAACCAGGTATTTGGCTAGAGTAATTTTGCTGTCACTACTTTTGACATAGCAATTGTGGTGAATAGTCACCCATTTTAACATGTCAATAGCCTACTGATGGAAAAATGTAATTGGTACAATTACAGAAAATTATTTCATGTCGACTGTGAATAACACTGTCAGGAAGAAGGGAGCTTTCTTTTAGATGATAGATTTTAAAGAACAAAACTGATTGAAGTAGAAAATGTTTCCTCTTAAGCAAACAACCTCCAGAATTGTAATCAGGCCTTTTAGGGCCACTTGTTTTAAAATTGCTTTTCATTTTTCTCCTTTATGCAGCCCACGGGTTCTTAATGGAGACTTAGATTTTAGTTTCTTTCTAGTACACACTTTGACCATAATTTTGCCCTTATGAATACAAAATTGGCCTATTTTATTATTCAAGGAGAGATTAGGAAGAAAGATAGTTTAGCTGAAAGGGTTATGGGAATTAGGAAAGAACAGAATTTCTGTGGCAGGGCTTTGGAACAAACAAGTTTTTCCTTCCTTCCCGAACTCCATCCCTTCATGCTATAACTTGTGTTTATTTATCATGCCTCAGTTTCCTTATTTAGAAAGTGTGTGTAGCCGTCAGTCTGTCAAGGCTTTGTCATGATGTGAGGTAGTGCATGTGAAGCAACTATCAAAGCCTGGTATTTAACAGTTAATTACTGTTACAGGAATTTTAGCTTCTACTTTCATCTGTAGTAGTTAGCTGGGTAGTTTGCATTTGTGTACTAACCTGTCATTAAAGGATTAACAAATAAATGAGTAAATTTCTGTTTATAATAGGAGACTGAATTAAAAATTATCAAACTCAAATTTTAAGTTTGAATGCAGCATTTTGCTCCCCCTAGTCCGCCATTTGGATTAATGCTGTATAGACTGACATACAGGAATGGTGTGGGGGTTGGGAGGCCCTTTAATTCCTGCACAGGGGAGCTGAGCTGTCTTTCCCTCTGCTCTCAGGATCAGGTCATCCAGCTAATGAACACAGTCTTCAGCAAGAAGAACTTTGAGTCACTCTCAGAAGCTTTCAGTGTGGCCTCTGCTGCTGCTGCATTGTCCCAGAATCGCTACCACATACCAGTGGTGGTTGTGCCCGAGGGCTCTGCTTCTGACACCCACGAACAGGCTATCCTGCGGGTATGACTCCCTGTCCAAGATTGCCATTCTCGTGCTATTTCTAGTCCAAGACTTTGGTATGTGGTCTAGAGCCAGTTAGAGCCTCCATGAGGATAGACCAATAAATTCACATGGGGACATGACCACAGGGGAGCCAGGCACAAATGCTTCCAAAACTACTAAAAAGAAGTAAGGCCCGGGGGAGAGGGTGACACACACTTTTAATGCCATCATTCTGGAGACAGAGTGAGTTTGAGGACAGCCAGGGCTACACAGAGAAACCCTGTCACAGGAGAGGGGGGAAAAACAAAACAAACAACAACAACAACAAAAAAAAAAAAACAGAGGAAGAGGGACTGAAGAGATGGCTCCATGATGAAGAGCACTTGAGTCTATTTTCCAGTGCACACCTGGCAGCTCACACCCACCTATAACTCCATTCCCCAGGGATCTGATGTCCTCTTCTAGCTTCTGTGAGCACCAGGCAATCATATGTTACACATATGTACATGCAGGCAAACATTCATAAAACAAAAATAAATCTTTTAAAAGAATAAAAAGAAGAAAAAAATTTTTTTCCTTGAAAATTATAAATAGCATGAGCTATTCCAGTAAATCAAGCTCAAGAAAACTGCAGTCTGGTCCATCACTCCAGGTATAGAGTCTTGTTCCTAAAATCAGTTTCTGGAGCTAGAGATATAGATCAGGGGTAGAGCATTTGCCTAGTATAGAACTAAATCCCCTGTACCACAAAATCCTAAGTAAGTTAAATACAGTGAATTTCTGATAAATCTGTAACTCCAAGGTAGAGAGGAATGGATTTGCTCATTATCTTTACACATGAAAAAAAAAAGTAGTAATAAAATCTATTTCCCAGTGCCAAAACAGTCCAGATACGTTGTTTTGTTTAATTATTTTGTATGTGTGGGTGTTTTACCTGCGTATATGTCTGAACTCGTTGAATGCCTGGTGCCTGACTCCTCAGATACCTCAGAGGGGGTGTCCGATCCCCTTGAACTTGAGTGTCAGATGGTTGTGAACCGCCATGTGGGTGCTGTGGCTTGACCCAGGCCCTCTGGAAGAGCAGCCAGTGCTCCTAACCACTGAGCCATCTCTCCAGCCCCCAGACAGATTGTCTTAAGACAACTTTTAATTCCCACATAATTCTAATGCCTCTGGTTCATTGTTAAGTATTTGCTTCTTCCTCCTTGTTGCTAATTGAGTGGCCCCCTCCACTCATGGTCCTCCCACACACAGCACTGAACATAGACTTTTGTGTTAAGCCTTCATACAGAGCCAATGAACAAATCTTAAGTATACCTAGAAGTTTCATCTCAAATGAAGCATTTGCTGGTGTTTGTAAACCACTGATCAACTCAGATCTCTGTAGTCAGCATTCTCTTTGTGTTAGTGTTGGTCCATCTGTCCGTAAGTTTGACTTTGATAACCTTCTGAGAAGGTGCCCCGTATTCCAAAATCGTCTGTCTCCCTCAGTACAAATTTTGTCTTTCCAACTAAGAGCAGGCTGAGAAATAACCTCACTGACGTAATTCTCTAGTTAAGGTGGATTAAGAGAGCACAGTGGCAAAAGTATTGGCTCTGAAGCTGCATACATACATACATGTACACTCAGCACTGGAATGTTGAATCTTGGCCTTACCCTTTAACTGACCTAGTGGCTTCTGGTGGTCCATAACTTCCTTAATTTCCCACATTCTCAGTTTCTTTATCCATAAATTAGGGAGTGTACTATCTACTTTAGACAGTTGGTAGGAGGCCTAGTATTTAGCATATGGTAGATTTTCAAAAATGATAGGTATTGACTGGGTCTATAGAAATGGCTCATTGGATAAGAATACTTGCTAGGCTAGCATGAGGACCTGAGTTCAGGTTCCTGCACCTGCACACACACACCTACACATGCACATAGGCAGGCACGCAGGCACAAACACAGTAAATAAATTACTCCCAATCCTTCCCCCAGCGTATTTTTTCTTACTCATAGTTTTGGTGGGGTTTTTTGTTTTAAGATATTATAGTAGAGTTGATAGGACAAGGGTTTCAAAAATGAGAAACAATAAATTGAGTATGGTGATATACACCTGTCATCTCAGCATTTGCCAGGCTCAGAAAGGAGTATTCCATGTTCCAGAGCAGACTGAGTTACATAGAAAGACACCGTCTCTTAAATAAAAAGGAAATACAGCTGTAAAAGCTAGTAGCACAAGCCTGTAATCTTGGGAAGCTCTGACAGGGGGATCCCAAGTTCAAAGCTTGCCTGAGCCATGGAGTGATGATTTAAGACCAACCTGGGCAACTTAGAGTCTGGGGATATAGCTCAGGGGTAGAGGTCTTGCCTAGCACACACACGGCCCTGTACTGTGAAAATACATAATTAGAAGCAGCCACACTCACACACAAATCACATATACAGTCTCTTGTTTCCTTCTGAGGTCTTTGGACGGGCTCATCTGCAGGCTCTTCCCCAGTGTAGCAGTCCACAGTCTGTCCTGTTGTCAGAGTTGGTCTCTGGTAGGCAGCAGACCAAAGTCGATGCACATCACCGAAGAAAGGTGCTTGTTCTGCAGAGCTGGTTTCCCGTAGATAAAGTGCCCCGGCGACCAAATTCCCACTGCCTTGGTCTTTGTCCTATTCACTTGTGGTTTGTTTTGTTTGACTTTCTAGTTGCAAGTCAGCAATGTTTTGTCTCAGCCTCTGACTCAAGCTGCAGTTAAGCTGGAGCATGCTAAGTCGGTGGCTTCCAGAGCTGCTACTGTCCTGCAGAAGATGCCCTTCACACTTGCAGGGTAAGTCTGGGACATGAAAATCTGTGCAGGCCACCAAGCTCTGTGCTTTGGACAGTTAACTTTCAACCAGTGTAACTGATTCATAGGGGTTAGGCCAGCCTGGTCTACAAAGAGAATTCCAGGACAGCAATGGCTGTTATCCAGAGAAACCCTGTCTCAGAAAACCAAAACAGATTCATAGGGGTCATAAACCACATTTGCCTAATGTGATCAGTCCTAGAGGAGAGTGTTAGAGATTTCTAAAACCAGCCATTTGCCCTTACTAATTCTGTCCTTATCTCTCTAGTGGGATCTGTCTTGTCATTGTGTTCCTACTTTTAAATTTAATACTATTTTTGTCTGATATATGAATACTACATTTTAGAAAAATCAGAAAATATAAGTCATCTATAATTCTACTACCTAGAGATAACTACTGCCATATTTTATAGTCTTTTGGCTGTGAGTGAGTCTAAGTATATTTTATTATTTAAATTCTTTTTAGATTTATTTATTTATTTTATTCTGTGCATATGTGTGCTTTACTTGCGTGTGTATATGTATACTACATATGTACCTGGTGCCCACAGAAGTCAGAAGAGGGTATCAGATGCCCTGGAACTGGAGTTACAGATGGTTGTGAGCTGCCATGTAAGTGCTGGGGATTGAACCCAGGTCCCCTGCAAGAGCAACAAGTGCTCTTAACCACTGAGCCATCTCTTCAGCCCCATAGGTACATTTTAAAAACTGAATGAGAGTCTGTAACTGTGTGTCATGAACAGTTGTCCAATGGGATTAAATATTTGTCTCCAATAATTTTAATGACTGTTCTTGATATGTGTATTTCTCAAAAATTAAGTCTTGGTTTCTATGTAAAACCTTATTTAGTATCAGTGAGTTACTGCCATATGGAGGTTGGAATATTGGAGAGAATGTATTTTTTCCACAGTGGTCAAGGATTCTCTCCACTAGACATCAAATGATCAAGTGAACTTGTCTCTAGAGGAGACGGTCTGGTGCAACAGTAAAAGTCATTGGAATCTTTCTGCATGATTATAGGGACTCTCCACCTTTTTTCTGTTTGAAATAGAGGATTATTAATTTGTAAAATAAAAATAACATGCTTTTTGATAAGTTCAAAAACAGAATATCAAAAAATTACACACAGCTCTACTCCCCTACACCAACAACTTTGGACATTTGGACTGTTTCCTTGAGTGGTTTTGTTGATCAGCCTAACTGAGGCTCCGTGGTGGAGCATGTGCGGCATGCCCTGGGCGCTAGATTCCACCCCCACATGGAGAAAACTCATGACCACGAGAGTGATGGGAGTCAGACTGGCAGACCTGCCTGGAGTGCCTTCCGTTAGTGCCTTCCATTCCAGCACTACAGGGCTGGACTTGGAGGCTCAGGAGGGAAGCAAAGAACACTGTACATCAGGAGATGGGTTATCCTGGATGGTTTTTACATTTCCACACTCACTTGTGGCTCAACTGGAGACTGCTCCGTGGTACAGGGAGGCAGCAAGGAGGGGAGTAGCCCTGGACTGTAGCAAGAAGATACTTTGTAGCCAATGTGATACATTCAGGACTTCTCTTGAGTTCTTGCTAAGTTTGCTGTCATTTCCAACAGGGATGTTTTTGAACTAAACTTCAAGAACGTGAAACTGTCCAGTGGCTACTATGACTTCTCCGTCAGAGTTGATGGTGACAGCCGTTACATTGCAAATACTGTAGAGGTAGGTGCTCTTCTGTATATTGACGTCTTTTGTGCCCAGGCTAAGGTAACCTTGACCTTTTGAACCTCCCGCCTCTGCCTCTGTTCTGGGATTTTAATCGAGGGTCGCACACTGTTTCGATTTTCTTTCTTTCACTCCACCTATATTTATTTATTGGAATTCTACTGTAAGAAAAAGAGCCTGCCCTTCCCCTCCATTTGTTTGTACGATGTGGTTTATAGAGTGGGCTTGTAGTGTGTTATGGATGTTTATTTGACCATATGTTAGGGTCTTGCAGTCACTGATTTTGATTTCCTGCCATCCTAATTTTGCCTTTGAAGATGTGCTCAGCTAGACACCTTTGACATTTTCTTTAAATAAAAAGAATAGGCAGCCAGCAGGTTTGACCTTTTCAAAAGCAGGCTCTCCGTACCGGTTAGATGATATTTTGAAGTTGGCAGAAAGGAAGATGTTTTCTGGAACTCCAGCCACTGCCTCATGTCTGACCTTTGGGGCACGAGACAGCTGATCTGATCGACTCAGGAGAACATAGTTTGGGTAGAAATTAATTTACTGTGTGTCTTGAACTTTTCAATTCCAGATTATTTTTCATCAGTTTCCTTTACGAGACCTTATTTGCAGCATAGCACATTATAGAGAGAACTCTTGCTTTCCTCGCAGCCTCAGCTTTCTCCGTCGGTGTCTTGGAAATGGCTTCTAGCTCCATGGCTAGATCACACTTGAGGCTCTTCCCTTCCTTCGTTTTCATTTCTAGACATTCTCCAGCACCTGCACATCGCACTCTGATGTCTCACCAGCACCAGTTCATCATTGTTATGATATGGCGTGTTGGGTTGCCGGGTGATGTTTTCTCTGATGCGTTGCGAAGTTGAGCACTGTTCTCGTGGTCATTGGGCAGCTCCGTTTCCTCCGTATGAATGGGCCATCTGTTGCTGGTGTTTATTAGCCTTCTTCCCTTACTGGCTTTCAAGAGTAGTGTGTGTTCTAGACACTAAGCCTTAGTTGTGAGCTTCAGGTTTCTTCTCAGAATTATTTTATGGTCTCTTGATGCATGCATATTTTAAAGCTTTTTTCTAGATGATGGAGTGGGATTTTTTTTGGTAGTGTGTTTGGTGCCTGCACATGTGAACACTGTATGCAGGTGTGCTCACATGTATGTGTATGTATGAGACCAGAGGGCCACATTAAGTGTCTTAATCACTCTCAATCTCTCTGTCATTTAAGGCAGTGTCTCTCACTGAATCTGGAGCTTGGCTTTTTTGGCTTGGCTGGCTGTCTACTGGGTTTCCCAGGATCCACCTGTCTCTGCATGTGTGTGCTGGTACACAGAGATGTACCTCCACGCCAGGCTCTTATCTGGGGACTGTGAGGAGTCACACCCAGGTCCTCCTGCTTACTGTGCTGAGGCACTTCCCAGTGAGCTGTCTCCCTAGTCCTGCTTTTTAGATCTTTTAAAGTCATAAGGCTGGCAAAGTGAGTGATGGAAGGAGCGAATCAGTTCTCACAAGCTGTCTTGTGACCTCCACACATTTGCCATGGCATGCACATCCATACTCATACACACACAAATAAATAAATGTAATTAGTTGGGTTTGGGGGTTTGGTTTTTTGGTTTTTGGGGTTTGGTGTTTTTTGTTTGTTTGTTTGTTTGGTTGGTTGGTTGGTTTTTTGTTTTTTCTTTTTTTTTTTTTAAAGAAAAATTCTTATAGTGCCTCAAAGAAAAAAAAGTCCTCTAATGTTTTCTTCCAGCAGTTTTCAGAACACTTTTCTCCTGATAGCTTCAATATACTTTAATTTTGTTCTTGCTCTAGTATTTATATCCTCTTGGTAATTGCACCAAGCACATTATAGCACCATTGTTTTCTTCATGTGTTGCCTTTTCTTTGGGCTAGGAACTTCATGTGGTAGAAGCCAAGTCTTAGTCAGCCAGTGTTTAGTTTCTATCTTAGACCACTTAGAAAAAGAAAAGGAATGTTTTCCCTTCTAGGGTGCTTAGAAAAGGCTGCCGTGCAGTAATCTGCAGAAGGGAGCCTTGGTGTGTGCACTCGCGTGCTTCTCTTTGGGACTTTATTGAGATGTAACTTACAATCTCATGAAATTTACTCATTGAAAGTGTGTAATTAGATATTCTTGGCATGTTTAGGGTTGTTTAACTCTAACCATCACTCCTGCCTATTCTGGAACACTTAGTATCCTCAAAGTCAGAC